CAGAGAGAGAGAGACAGAATAAGAATTCGAGACTGAAAGAAAAACAAAGATAAAAGAGAGAATATTATAAACCATAGTCGAAAAAAAACGGAATAAAACGAGAGAGAGAAAAAAAAATAACACCCCCCCAAAACAAAAATAAAAATAAATAAAATAAAAAATTAGGACAACTACAAACGCACACACAAAACGACCCACCGTCACATTCAGATCGAACACAACTTCAGACCCTTCCTTCATGTCACCACACTCGTTCGTCGCCACGTCCTGGGTGCCATGACACTTCGAGGAGTAGCTAATGGTGACTGGGGAAGTGTCTGTCAGGTTGTCGCTCAGTTTGATCTTTGAGGTGATTTTCTGCAAAGAAAAAATTTAGGTTAGTGGAAGACAGGGAGAAATTTTGGGGTAAGGAAGAAGGGGATTCTCTGTGTGGGGGGAATTATAGGGGAGGAACGGGGGAATTATGGCGGAGGAATGGGGGAATGGCGGGAGGGAACGCGGGAAATCATGCGGAAAAGGAAAAAAAAATATGGGATAAAGAAGAAAGGATTATTTGTGGAGCATTCTTTGGGGAACGGGAAATTCTGGGGAAGAAAGAGGAGGATTCTTTGGAAACGAGGAAAACGGGGAAATTTTGTGCCAAAGGGAGAAATTTTAGGTGTTATGGGGATGACATCTGAGAAATTGTGGAAACGGGGGGGGGGGGGGGGAGTACGAGGAAAGTATTATGGATATTTTGCATGGATTTAAAATCTTTATTCTTCTTTCCCTGCTCCTCACCTCTCTCGCTCATCCCTCCTCCCTCTGCCTCTCTTCCTTTCTTCCATCATTTCCTTCCCTTTCTCTCATCTCTCTCCCCTTCCCCCTTCCCCCCCCCCCCTTCCCTCTCTCTCTCTCTCTCTCTCCTCTCTCTCCTCTTCTCTCTCTCTCCTCTCTCTCTCTCTCTCTCTCTCTCTTCTCTCTTCTCCCTCTCTCTCTTCTTTCCTCTCTCCTCTCTCTTCTCCCTCTCCCTCTCCCTCTCTCTCCTCCCTCCCTCTCCCTCCCCCTCCCTCTCCCTCCTTCCCTCCCTCTCCCCCTCCCTCCCTCTCCCCTTTCCCTCCCTCTCCCCTTTCCCCCCTCTCCCTCTTTTCCCTCCCTTCCCTCTCCCTCCCTCTCTCCCCTCCCTCTCCTTCCCTCTCCTCTCTCCTCTCTCCTTCCCCTCCTCTCTCTCTCCTCTTTCCCTTCCTCTCCCTCCTTCTCCCTCTCCCTCTCCTCTTCCCTCCCTCTCCCTCTCCCTCTTCCTCCCTCTCCTCTCCCTCTTTTCTCTCCCTTCCCTCCTTCCCCCCTCTCCTCTCCCTCCTTCCCTCCCTCTCCCTCCTTCCCTCCCTCTCCCCTCTCCCTCTTCCCTCCCTCCTCTCCTCCTCCTTCCCTCCTCTCCCTCCTTCCCTCCCTCTCCCTTCTCCTTCTCCTCCTTCCCCTCCCCCTCTCTCTCCTCCCCTCCCTCTCCTCTCTCTCCCTCTCTCTCCCTCCCTTCCTCTCCTCCCTCCCTCCCTCTCCCTCTCCCTCCCTCTCTCTCTCCCCCCTTCCTCTCCCTCCCTCCTCCCTCTCTCCCTCCTTCCCTCCCCTCCTCTCCCTCCTTCCCCCTCTCTTTCTCTCCCCTTCCCCTCTCCTCCCCTCCCTCTCCCTCCTCTCCCCTCTCCCTCCCTTCCCCTCTCCCTCCTCCTCTCTCCCTCCCTCGCCCTCTCTCCCTCTCCTCCCTCTCTCTCCCTCCCTCCCTCTCCCTCTTCCCCCTCTCTCTCTCCTTTCTCTCTCCCTCTCTCTTCCCTCATCCTCCCCCTCACCCACTCTTACTTCGTACTGCTCCTTGACGAGTTCCACCACGTTGGCCGAATTGGCGTCCAGAACCCCGAAGGATGAAGCTTCGATCATCTTCGAGAGGGATTCGTAGAGGTCCGGATACCCAGAGACGGCGAAAATGACGTTGATTTCCTCGCGTTGGGCAATTTTGTTGATCTGAGGGAAAGGAGAAAGGATGTAGGAGGAGAGAAGGGGAAAAATGGGATTAGGATTATTTTGTTTGTGTTTGTTTTCTTCTTGTTTTTTGCGGTTTGTGTTTTTGTTAGTGATGCATTTTCTGTTTGTCTGTTAGCTAGATTGTCTTGTTTGTTTATTTTTTCGTTCAGGGACTTTTGATTTAGAGTATACTCTTGTTGGGCGATTTCATTGACATTAAGTTGAATTTGTCTTCAGCTTATACTTTCCTCAAATATTTACGATGAATCATCCTTCTCATTTTTCATCTTATCAATCTCCACAAACACCTCAAGAATCTGATAAAAAGGAATCTAATCCTCTATTATGTGATAAAAAGAATCTAATCTCTATTATGTGATAAAAAGGAATCTAATCCTATATTCTATATAAAAGAATCTAATCCTTTATTTTGTGATAAAAAGGAATCTAATTTAAAAAGGAATCTAATTCTTTATTTTGTGTTTCGATTCCTTAATACAAGTGGAAT